ATGAAAGCTCTAGGCCCTCTGAAATATTTTCTTGGGATTGAAGTATCCTAATCCAATAAAAGGAATATTTCTATCCCAAAGAAAATATTCCTTAGATCTCTTAAAAGAAAACGGTATGTTAGCATGTCAACCAATTGATTCACCAGTGGAGGAAGGTCTAAAGTTGTGCATTGAGTCCAACCAAGTACCAACTCATAAAGGAAGATACCAAAGACTTATAGGGAGATTGATGTACTTAGAACATACAAGACCAGATCTAGCCTATGCATTAAGTATTGCCAATCAGTTTATGCATAATCCTGGAGAGCAACATATGAATGCAGTTATGCGTATTTTGAAGTATTTAAAATTTGCTCATGGAAAGGGAATCTTATTCACTAAGAACTCAGATTATCAAAGCATAGATGCATATACCGATGCTGATTGGGCCGATACCATAGATGATAGGCGATCTACCTCTGGTTACTTTACCTTCGTAGGTGGTAATCTTGTGACATGGAGAAATAAGAAACAAAGTGTTGTCGCTCGCTCAAGTGCAAAAGCTAAATTTAAAGGTATGGCTCTAGGACTTTGTGAAGCATTGTGGCTAAGACTCCTATTACAGGATTTGGGTTACCTGTCTAGGAAACCAATCTAACTGTTTTATCACAATAAAGCAGCATATGACATTGCTCATAATCTAGTACAACATGATCATACAAAGCATGTCGAGGTGGACAGATTTTTCATCAAGGAAAAGTTAGATGAAAAGATTATGGAGTTGCCTAAAATAAAATCAGAAGATCAGTTTGCCGACATCCTCACCAAAGCAATCTCTTATCGAGTATTCTTAAAGTTTTTAGGCAGGTTGGGCATGTGTGATATCTATGCACCAACTTGAGAGGGAGTGTTGAGATTTTAGGAGATTAGGAGTATAGAATCGTTTATTATTCTTTCCATTTTTAGACTGATTGCCTTGCTGTATATTAGCTGTTAAATCGTACTTAATTATGGGCTGTAAATGTGTGATTGATTGTATAGCCTAATTGTAGAAGATCATCCTCTATATATAGATTGTACATCGACAGACAAATATATGAATGAAAATATACCATTCTTCATTCCCTATTTTTCAAGTTTCAGGGCCCCAAAATTTTTTCCTTATATATTATAAGCTAGCTAGAAATAGGGCTGCAAGTTGGGTTGGCCCAACCCAGCCCAGTCCCAACCCAACCTGAACCTGAATCGGGTTGAGTTGGGCCAGCCCGAATTGTACCCAACATAGGTTATGGTCATAACCCAACCTGAATATTTTCGAGCGGGTTTGGTCGGGTTGACGAGTTGAGTTTTTTTTTAATTTTTTTTTTCAGAAATATATATATATATATATATATATATATATATTTGATTATATATATATATATATATGTATTATATATATTTTTAGGGTAAATCATTTTAGCCTCCCCAGTGGCCTCCATCTCTATTCTTTCTGAACTTGCCCCCCCTCTCTCTCTCTCCAACTGCAAACTACAAAATCTACAAGAATCAGAACTTCAAAACCCATATATTTTAGTTTTATCTATCTGTATGCAAGAACAAAAAGTTCAAAACCCATATCGGTATACTATTTCAGATTATTCAAAAAATCAAAACCTAGATCTTTCAGTTTCCATCGCCCCTTATTCCAGTTCGAGTTCGCCGTTCGCAAGCTTCAACCACTGTCTCTCAACTCTTAAGCTTGCCCCCCTCTCTCTCTGTGCAATTGCCAACTTGAATGTATGGGGACAGCGGTAGAGAGAGAAAGAGAAAGAAGAGAGAGAAAGGAGGAAAAAAAATGAATTTTTTTTTTTTTTGGGTTTTGGGTTGGGTTTGAGCCCAAGCCAAACCTGAATATGTCTGGGTTTTGACAAAATCCAACCCGAACATGAGCCCAATTTGTGAACTTAAATTCCAAATTTCAAAATTTCGGGTTGGGCTTGGGTTGGGCTGGGTTAGCCCGCCCAAGTTTCAGCCCTACCTAGAAATTTTATTTTTTTCTATTATTAAACCTCAATCAATAGAAAATTTTAATATTAGAACCAAAATATTTCTATATTATATTACTATTTTTTTATCTCTCTTTCATCCTTATTACATGAGCGTATACATACACATATGCATATATATTACTACACCAACCATAGATATTATCTATTGTGGTGGAACTTGTGAAACTTTCTATATTTTTTTAAGACGTCTATTAACTTCTTCTTTTTTTTTTCCTATTCCTCATATATTTTTTCTCCTTTACATATTTTTCCTCCTCGATCTCATTATATATATATTTTTTATTTTCTTCTTCTCCACTCCTACAATTCACAACAGCATTCCGTCACAAGACTTTGAATGAACTTTTATTCTATTAAAAAAAAATTTGGAGTATTGGACCAAATTCTTCGAAATCAATTTCTATTGTTCTATAACTTCAATTAGTTTTATTAAATATTTTTATCATAAAATTATTTATTTTATTTGTGAGTTGTCATCATTTTTATTTATATTATTGAATATTTCTTCTAGAAAGTACATAGTCAATTAACTAACGATAGAACTAGAGACTGAAAAAAATTTAGTACTACGCTTAAAAATCACAAAACAAATAATGAGCATATTCAGGGGTGGAGCCAGGAATTTGTTATCACTGACAAAATAATTTTTTTTTCAAACAAGCTAAAAATATAAAAGTGTAACAACAGTGCATTAGAATAAGTGAATAAAAAATGAATAAGAAAAGAAAAAAGGAAAAGGAAAAGGAAAAGAAGGTTATTGCACATAAATTATGTATGAGTGTAAGAAAAAAGAAATTTTTAAGAAGAAAAAGGAATTTTTTAAGAAGAAAATAAAATAAAAAATATATGTATGAGAGAATTTTGAAGAAAAAAATAGGTTTTAATTGTAGAAAGAGAATGCAAAAGTTTTTGAAGAATAACAAGGAAAATGAATAAAGAATTAAAGATGTTTTTAGAAATAGATAATTTTATGGGAGATAATTTATAAATTTTATGAGAGTGTTTTATAAATATTTACAAATTATACGCATAAAATAAAATAAAATTTAGTGGATTTAGGGGCAGGGGGCCATTTTATTAATTTTAAGGGGGGCATTTTATCAATTTTTACAGATTTATGTAAAAAAAAAAAAATCAATCTAGTGGGCGGCATGGGCAGGGGGGCAGCTACCCCCTGGGCACATGCTGTCTCAACCCCTAAGCATATTACTAGCATGAACATATGGGTAGACTCTATTAAAAGGCCATTTTATTTTATTTTTACCAAAAGCCTCAAATTATATTGAGCCGCCCCTGTCTATGATCCATCTCACACCAATCCTTTCTTCTCCTTTACCCAAGGCTAACATGAATGCCTTTTGATATGTTGTATTGCCAACCTTTGTGTCTAGATGGAGTTTTTTGCTCTTACCATGCTCTTGTGTGCAATGTTTCATGTGGGCTAATTTCTGTTTTTCATTTGTAGATGCCTTGGACTCCCCCTGGAGTTGATGTTAGGATGGCACAAATGGTGTTTGTGCTTTTGTTCTTGTTTTCTTTTGTTGCCTTTGGCTTGTAAGGCCTTGGTATTCCCCAAGTATACTTGTACTTATTTTATTTTCTTTTATCCATACTTACTTACTCAAAAATAATAATAATAAATAAATAATAAAATAAAATAAAATAAAATAAAATGAAGGAAATATTTAAGCATTATTGAAGATAGATATCTTATACAACTAATGTAGCATAATTGTCAATATACAAAAATTGCCCATTATGTTTTGACTGGGGTGGCAATTGGGTAGGTTTGGGCGAATTTGAGACTAGTCATAAGTTGGCTGACCATGAATGGGCTAGTAATCCATTATCAACCCATCAATAGGAGGTCATTAGTAGGCTGGGTATCAAATGGACTAATCAACTCACATATAACCTGTTGATCCATTCATATAATATATTATTATTATTTTCATTTTTGTCCCTCCTCTGCTCACAAAATCATGCTTTTCTATGACTTTTTATATATATAATTTTATATTTTAATCTACTCACAAAATTATTCTGGTAATGATTGTTTTTTAATATTCACAGTAATTATTATTATTATTATTATTATTGTATATTTCGGGACTGCTTTCTTGATGGAAATGTATAATTGAAGTTCATATGTTATTTACTATAGAATAATCCTAACAAAAGCCCCAGATTTCATCTTTGGTAATAAAGAAATAATATATAACAATTCAGATTTTAAAAATTCAATTAGTAACTATTTTTTTTCTTCCTAAAAGTAAACAAGTCTGTGCTATATATCTTGTAGTGTATTGACTTAATAATTGGCTAACCTACTCGTAGTTATCCAACTTTACTTCGACAAAATTTTATATGGATCATTTTTTGTTCACTTAATTATTTTTCCAAGTCCTATTTTTTTTTTTATCCACCAAGCTAGAGAGACATGATAGGAGAGAGAAACAAAAGGAGAGAGAGACGAGAAAAATGAGAAGAGAGAGAGACGAGGGAGATAAATGAGAAAAGAAAAATGAGGAGAGAGAAGACGATAGGAGAGAGAGACGAGAGAGATAAAAAGTGGATAGAGAAAACGCGAGCAGGAAGAGAGATAAAATGAAACAAAGTAATTTGATTTTAAAAAATATCATGTGTGGTGGGTTAAGTGGGTACTTACTACCAATTAAATATATTACTCATTAATGATTTAATTATTAGTAACTCATTTAACTAAACTAGTCACCCAATACTTATTGAACGGATTTGAGGGAGTTTTTAGATTTGGGTATATTTTGTCACCCCTAATTTTAACATCCATTGGACATCACACTTCCAACTTGTGCACTCTTTGTTGGAATGAGATCCAGTTGAGTTTTTCTTCTCTTCTGCGCGTGCTATTTTATTGTCACAAGAAGTAACAAGCTAGCGTTGTATTGCATGATATTACAACCAAAATGCTAATTGAAAGGTGTTGTGCAATTTGAATATTCTATTACACAATAATAAGGTTTACAATTTTCTATTTCCAATCATCCATGGAAAACTCATGTAGGCACGCACATACTACTACTAATAATAAGAACAACAAGATGGGCAAGCATTCTTGTTCCCATAAATCATGTAGGCACGCACCCAATACCGGATCGACGAGCAGGTAATACAAAAAACAAACCACTACAAACGAAACCAATCATCCATGGAAAACTCTCCATCATCTCATACATCTCCTTCTCATGCCCCGGAAACACACAATTAGTGACTCGATGATCCGAAAACGCGAAAGCCATAAACACCATCACAGACATGATGGCATGCACAAAGTCCCTAAAACCAAGTTTAAAGTCGTCGGAGGTAAACTTGTCAGTGTCTTCGGGCGGTACCACTTCATGACTATTGAACATTTTCAGACCCGTAGGAGTCACAAAACCGTAATAGGGTTTACCGTCTTTTCCACGAAAACTATCCGTGAAGTGAAAGAAAAAGCAGGAGAGAGAACATAGGCCTAACAGGGCAATGGTCATCATAGTGCTAGTTTGGGTGCAACTGCCATTGTGGTACACTGAGGGGAGGACTGTTTCGAATATGAGGAGGGTTCCGGTGGGGAGAAAGTTCGCGAGCATGGAGGTTTTCGAGAAAGCCTTCTGCATTCCCTTTCCCGCATACTCTTTCCTGCAGCCGCTTTCTGGGGCACACTGAAGAGAGGGCGCCGGAAGGATGGCTTCCTGATCATTTTGTACTCGAGTTGTGTTGGGGTTTTTGATTGGATTATTTTCAGCTCGCTCCATTTCTTGGCAGGAATGTGATAATGCAAAGGAAACAAAGTATGATTTGGTTAGTAGTGGTTTGGATCGGGTATGTTTACAATTTATATAACAATAGCATAATTTCAATAAGTAAAATTTGAATGCCATACACACATATATGAAAAAATTTAAGAAAATTGGACTTTGAGATTAAGAAGCGTATTAGGCACTGTTCTTGAGTCGATACTTCTTCTCCGCATGTGAGTATTTACGATAATACCAACACGAAGATACAACCCAAATGCTTTTAGATTGTCTCCTCGAGACAAGTTTGAAGGAGCACAATATAACCATGTCAATGTCTCGTTATCCACAAATATCAAATAGAGACATATAAAGATATACATGTACATCACTGGTAGAGAAAAGAGAGTCGACTATATATGCGAGTTTTACAAAGATGGTTGTAAGTAGGCTTACACTATTGGAGAAGTGTAGAGACCAGCTTTTATAAGATTGAGAGAGTAACTCCTTTTTTGTGACAATGGTGTTAATAGAAATCACCATATTTTTCATAATGAAAATCATCATAAATAATTAATTATAATTGTTATTAAAATATTCCTAACAAAAGGTAGTATATATTTATAATGGTGGCAGTCAATTTGTGCTATAATAATAATATATCATATAGTTATTATCTCATATAAAAAAGACAAAACTATATACAAAGGATACAATAGATGAAAATTAATTCTTCACAGAACTTTCTGGCTCTTAACAATTCTGACCAATATACTCTAAAATAAAAATTGTAACGCATTAATGTTAATGTATCTAACTTTGCTCAGTCGGAGAAATAATTAGAAAATAAACACACTTAGAGTTGTAAGAATTGCAGAGGAAACAAATTCAACTAAAATAAAAATTGTAACGCATTAATGTTAATGTATCTAACTTTGCTCAGTCAGAGAAATACTTAGAAAAAAACACACAAGTTGTAAGAATTGCAGAGGAAACAAATTCAACTTATAACTTATAAGTGAAGTGTGAGCTAACTCGGATGTGCGTATATATGTATCTATATATATATGGTCATAAAAGAAAGTACCTGTAAGCAGAAGAATGGAATTGCTTGGAAAATTGAAAGTGAGATCAGTACTCCACAGAGAAGTGCCTGCTTTCTTTGAGGTGGCTCAGTTGAACCATTGCGTGACAACTTAATATAGATGTTCAGAGACATCAGATTCTGTTAGGCACTGGTTATGATATTTGTAGCTATAGTAACTTTTATCTGATTTGGTTCCAGACAATTAGATTTAAGAGTATAAGAAGAAAAAAATTTCTTTTTTCCGAACGAGTATTAGAAAACATTTTTTTTTCCTTCGAAAATAGAAGTATTAGAAAATATTGAGACACCAATTTATGGTGAGCTTCAATTGAAGCTTCAGAGCTCCGGGCCACTTGGTGACGACTGAAGGAAGAGTCAAGATTATATTTCATTAAGCAAATAAAAAAAAAAAAGTTATAGTGCATACATCATACATGAGTGTAAAAAGAAGAATTTTAAAAGGAAAAAAAAAAAAAAAATTTGACAGAACTTTAGAGGTAGAAAAGTTTAGGGTTTGAACTTAATTTTTTTAAAAGGAATCAAAGTTTGAGGAATAAAAGAGAAAGGAAAGAAAAAATAAGATATTTTTTTAAATTAAAAATTTTAGGAGAGTATTTTTAAATTTTTAAATTTTTCATAAATATATATATATAAATATTTGGCGGGGCCCCTTTATATACTCTGACTCAATCGTTGGAACCACTGTCACTCAGGAACAATTTTATTGGTGTGTGCGTTTGCAAACTTTTAAAAGAAAAATATATATATATATATAAGTTTAAGGAAAACAATGGCACATGAAATGGGAAATTCTTTTAGTTTACCAATGGCCAATAATCCCGTTATACTGAGTACCTCAAATTCATCGTAATGCTTTATTTGACTTGAAGAAATCTTCAATTGAGGTGGAGTTACGAAAAACTTGAGGTGAAGGCATGAAGAGATCATTATTTTTTTCCCTGAATTGAAGAGATCCTTATTCGAGATGGAGCCGTGAAGATTGAATTTTAAGCCAAGGTAAAGATTGTTGGATTTGTGGTACAAAATTTGTGTGCAAAAAATTAGTTTCCTTTTTCGTTTTGGAAGGCTAAAATTTGTAGAGGAAATTGTATCCGATTATGTTTCTATTTTATAATTTTGACCATTATGGTAACTCCTTGTAGGCAAATTGAGAAATACTTGTTCAATAAAGAATTGGGTTTGAAGAATCTATAAATAAAGATGGGTATGAGAGGTTTAGAGAGAGAGATAAGAGAAAAATGTAAGAGGTTTAAGGGTGAGTGTTGGAAGGAGAGAAATGAGTATATGTAATTCCCGAATGTATACATGTTGCCTCATAAGAGATGATGAGCGAGTGAGTGGGATTTTGACATGTGGTTTTATAGTCTTTCTTGATTCATAATAGTGAAATATCTCTCTCCCATGGGCGTAATCCTAGGGTTGGGTGAACATGTAAAATATTGTGTTGTACGTGAATGTATGCGATTGTTATCTCCATATATGCTTGTGTTGATATGATGTGATGATGTTTGCGCTCTGTGCGATGAAGGGGGATTTAACTCTCAACAACAGCCGATCGTTGAGTGAGTTCAAGGAAGTTAATTAATTATCCCCAACACTTACGTCATAAAGGAAAGTCAGGGATTGGAGCTTAATGAAAGTAAAGTGTGTGAGTAACTAAAAAAAGTGTATGAGTATATTGTTTTCAAAAAAAATAAATAAATAAAAAACTTGTAATTTTTTTTATGACATAGTCTTGTTTTAAATGAGTTTGTAAGGTTTTTTCTTTTTCTTCTACTTCTTCTTCTTCTTCATTTGTTTTCGGTTTTATTTTTATTTTTATTTTTGCCTCGCTAAATGTGCTTTTATAAGAAACTAACCAACTACAAAGAGAGGGAACAAACTCCATATTACAAGAGACTAGACCAGTACCATTACGTTATTCCTTAATTCTGCATCATAAACTTAATTATGTGAAGTTTGAAGAATTAGATGCCCAATGTCTTCTCATGGGATGACTTTTGATAGTCTTATATTCTCATATGAATTAATATTAAGATGGATGGTAAGAGTGATCCGAAAAGACTCAGTTACTCATGTGAAATGATTGATAGAGTACAATGTAATAGACTACTTATGTGAGAATTGATATATACAACCAAGACTTATAAATGCAAATGTATATTAGTTTGAGAGGTAGATCAAAACTAATATAGAATTTGCATGCCATGAAGTTGTTATAAATTATTTTAAAGACCTTACCTTCCGAAAAAAAAAAATTATTATTGACCTAAATATGATATGAAAGGTGACTTGTAAAGAAAATAAAAATAAAATATTCGCGTGACGAGACTTCAGATTAAATAAAGAATAATAATAATGACAATGAGATTCTTATTACTTTTTGATGGATTCTTGCATCCATCTTTAATTTCATCTTTTTGATAGAATTAGATTCCCACTGGATGTTTGGATGTTAAGCAGACCATTTGACCATATCCTCTGTTAGTAGTTTCATTTCTGATTTACATATTTATCTTTTTTCTTTTCTTTTCGGTTTTGGTATGTGTGCTTGTATTATGTTCTATTTGAATTAAATGCTCTATGTATATTAGTTAAGATGGTAAAGTTTTCTAAATTTTTTAGAGTTCAAATCATAAAATCTCATTTACTATAAAAATATATATATATATTAGGTTTCTTTTCACCTTCTACCTACGAACAATGAGTGTTTCAACCATTTGAGCTCACTTTTTTGCCATTTTTTTAAACGCCATCTCTTGCAAAGTAGAATTTATTCCAAACTTGTTGGCTTATTTTCATGTTGCTATATATTAGGTTCACTAATCATAATATATATCGGATTTAATAGACAATGTTTGCCTCTAGTCCTACTAAGAGATACCATTATCCTAACAGTAGACATTTCATTATTATATAATTACATCACATATATATATAGCATTGAAATAGTTTGAGATTGTTAATTTCAACAACAAATATTATATTAACATAACCAATTCAATCATCATTCTCCCTAGTTTTTCTTTACATGTTTTAAGATTACAAATAATACAGGAGCATGTCTTATCTTTGCTTTCCAAATCATTGTTCTCTTTGCAAGAATCCATCATTAAGGTACAAATTCTTCGATCCATTGTATTTATTCTACCCATATTTGGCATCATATTCAAGCATTATGTGGCCCTGTGATTGCTTATTAGCGCGGTGGTTCTAATCAATGTCTCAATCAAAAAGTTGGTTTTTGCTAACAGCGTCTGCTAGATTTGGAGGGAAAGATGCAACCGTATTTTTCGCAATGTTGAATCTTCTCCCTCTGCTGTCTTAGCTGAGATCAAGAATGTGGTTATATAAAAGCTTCTACTTTTTAAATTAAAGGACTCTGTTGCTTCCAGGAGGTTTGCTGAAGAATGGGCTCTTCCTGGCTGTTAATTAATTGCCTCAAATCCTAAGAGTTGCTTTCCTCTATCTGCTTTATGTATTTTTGTTGTTTCTGTTGCTTGGCTAGCCTTTAGCTGTTTGTTGTTAATTTACTTAGCTTCCTTTGAGCTCTACGAGCTTTTGCTCTTCATCCCAGGGTATGCCTTTGTTCTTTTGTGCATATTCTTTCATTCTTATATTTATTCTTTCTTCTCTTATCAAAAAATCATTATCATTGCTTTAATCCCGTATGAATGGGTCGAGTACATGAATTCCCTCTCTCCAAGTTTGTCTTTTACATGCTAACTCACCTACTAAATTTAACTTTTCAAAATCATTTTTAATAATCTCATCTCATATTATTCTTGGCCATCCTCTCCGTCTCTTTCCTTCTATTACATCTAGTCTAATTTCCTCATTTGACCATTATGTTAGCAGGTCTCCGATATATATCTAAACCATCTAAGTGTACTTGCCTTTCAAATTTTCTCACCAATGGGCATTGTTATGAATAAAGGAATGGAAAAATATTAACCAATAGACCTGTGGTCTAGCGATACAAAGCTCCTACTTTCCAAAGGGAGGTCAGGAGTTCGAACCTCAGTGGAGGCAGTGTATGTGAGTCCCAACTAGGAAAATATATATATATATATATATATATATATATATATATATATATATATATATTATATTGTACTGATATGAGATGAGATGATGAATATTAGAGTACAATATGTTTATGTAAGAGAGGTTATGTGTGGAGAATAAGTAAACCCCTATATGATAATGCTATACATGGTAACAAGGATAGGTGAAGACGGCTAACCCTAACCCTAATATATAATATTCAATATTCTGTAACAGTGCCCATCAAAGTTAAGGTGGATTAATTATATGAAGCAATCTTGAGTTTGGAAATAAAATCCTTGAAGCGGCCTGGCGGAAGCGATTTGGAGAACATATCGGTTATTTGATCATGAGAAGTAATTGACCGTAATTATATGGTCTTCTAAAGAATATGATGCGAGCAAAATGGCAATCGATCTCAATGTGTTTGGTGCGCTCGTGAAATACATCATTATATGCAATTTGGATTGCATTCTGATTAACACAATAGATAGGACTGACAGTGCATGAAGAAACTCTCATGTCGTGAAGGAGCCAACGTAACCACAAAAGCTTAGAAGTAATATCAACAAGTGTCATGTACTCAGCTTATGTGATAGATCGAGCTACCATAGTTTGTTTCTTCCTAAGCCAAGAGATAAGTGACTCACCAAGAAAGAAACAATAGCATGTGGTGGAATGACAATCTATAAGATCTCCTGCCCAGTCAGCATCTGAATAGGCACGAACAAGTGACAACTGAAAAGAAAAATAAAGCCCATAAAACATAGTGCCTTTGAGATAGCGAAGGATGCGAAAACTACAGCAAAATGAGTAGATCTAGGGGCAGCCATGAACTGACTAACTATGTGGACGGCATGAGAGATGTCTAGATGGGTGACAGTGAGATAAACCAAACTACCAACCAATTGCCAATAAAAAGTTCCATTCTGAAGAGATTCTCTATCAAGTAGATTAAGTCTTGTGTTGTGCTCAAATGGTGTATCTATAATCTTGCTGACCATTAAACCTAATTTTGAAATAAGATCGGATATGTATTTTGCCAGAGTGAGGTAGTAACCATCTATAGATGTAGTTATCTCAAGACCAAGAAAATAACTAAAGGGTCCAAGATCCTTCATCTTGAACTGACAACTAAGAAATTGTTTGAACTCCTAAATTCCTATCAAATCATCTCCAGTGATGATCATACAACATAAAGTAATAGAAGAATGATACCCCAATTTATGTGTCAGATGAATAAAGCTGAGTCATAATAGCTAGCAAAGAATCCAAGACGAGAGATAGTCTGGCTGAATTTAGACTAATTTCTGTGTTTTTCGTGTTTTTAGGTACTTTCCCGAAGAACAAGTTAAAATCGGGCTTTTATGATGAAAAGAATGATAATGAAGTTTACCGCGTCGTTGCCGGTCATCCGAAGCAAGCCGGGAGTCAAAATGGTGAATTTTAGCGAGTTTCAAGTTCAGAAGCTCGAACCTCAGTTCTATAGCTCGAGCGCAGCAGAAAAAGACAAGAAATTCCAAAGGCAAGAAAGCTCGAGCCCTGAACCTCAGAGCTTGAGCCCAACCACAGGGTGCTCGAGCACATGATGCTTT